TAAATGTGACAAGGGAGTAAGGGGTATTATGTCCCCGATACAAGTACTCTCCATCATTTCACACCATTTTGTCCTTCTGTCCTTACACACCTGATGTTGCTTGGATACCGTCAGTACAAGCAGACAGCGTTACATAACCACATGTGATAAGCGCTGATAATTATGCACCTTTTTCTCTTGCTGCAGCCTCCACTATGTGCCGTAAAAGCATTTGTTGTTCTTTCTCCGCTGTGTGGGCGCCTCTTTTCTCACGTATGGCACATTTTGACTCATTGTATCAGCGGCATTCACGCTTTTGCACGCCGTTAGTGATAAGTGATGCTGATTATCCGTGAACTTTGACCACGCAGTTCAGCTCCCATCGGCGCTTTGTACAGTCTCTTTGGCTCATAAAAAGCATGTCTTCTAAGTGAACGTCCAATAAATCAAAGAGAATAAGATGTGTATGTATGTATGAAGTTTTGGCTTACTAGCTGAGTATTGGAATCTGCAACAGTCTTCCTGAAAATGTGAGACAGGCTTTGACTCTGACAATGTTCAAAATCCAGGCTAAAAACAGTTGTGTTTAGCTGAGCATACAACTGAAGCCTTGTATCTTAACTCTTTCATAATGTTTAATTAGTTATGCTCTTAATGCCATTAGCATAGGTACTTAGCATAGGTAACCGCCCATTCATGCCCATAAAAGGCACTGCAGGGCCGTGTGGAGACTGCAGAGGAAATAGCAACAGGCCTAAAGCAAAGAGATACACGGAGCAAAAGAGTCACCCTTTTTTCTTCTTTTGCCAGACTGAGAATAAAGTTATAAAATGTTGACTTAAAAGTCGAAATATTATGAGAATAAAGTCGAACTAGCAAAATTATGAGATTAATCTAAAAATATGATGACATTAATCTCAAAATGTTATGAGATGAAGTTAAAAATATATTATGTATTAATTTAAAAATGAATCTCAAAATGTTTTGAGATTAATCTCAAATTGTTTTGAGATTAATCTCAAAATATTTTGGACCCTGGGAGGAGATCCAGCGCGGACCAGCGCTGAGACCAATGCAGACCCGAGGAGAGACTGGAGTGACCAGTACACAGAAACCAGCGCGGACAGGAGAGACCGCATATGACAGGAGAGACCTGACTGAAGAAGAGAGACCGCATAGACCAGACAGGAGAGACCGCATAGACTGAGAGACCTGACTGAAGAGACCGGTGCGCAGAGACCAGCGCGGACCGAAGAGAGACCGCATAGTCCAGACTGGAGAGACCAGCGCGGCCCCGTATGGATCCAGGAGCGTGCAGCACGGACCCGTATGGAGAGACCAGTGCAGGCCCGTATAGATCCAGGGGAGAGACCAGCGCAGAGACTCAGCGCGGACCCCGCAACCTCCTGCAGCAGCAGTATACGCCATTGTTCTGTGGCCCGTGGATAAAGAAATGCCCCCTATAAATAGGATGGGGTCACTAATACACGGCAAGATTTCCAATGTATTTCATAAAGCGTTGGCACATTTCATTTCAAAATTAATTAAAAAATAGGCTAAATTACTATTAATAATTAAATAGATAAATCAATACATCAATATGACAGACATACTGTATCATTGTAATGTTGTGTTTTATTGAACTTCGTAACACCAGCGTGCGAACATGTCGGCACTGAATGTGCGTAAGAGTACTCCTGAGCACTTGTAGGATTTGTACGTAGCCAAGAGAAATTCTGGTTACGAGAAAATTTAATGAATGCCACAATCTTCGTAAAATCTTTGTAAGTAGGATATACAGTACACACAAATTTGTTCTTAAGTACGGTTTGTGAATGAGGCCCGATGACTGCATCCATGAAGTAGCTGCAATAATGTTGTGGCACAATATTAAACCTTTTGGAATTGTGATCAGTGCATTGAGGAGTATGTGACGTGACGTGAGTGTGTGCGTGCACGCGGCCGAAACGTGAGCGCGCTCTGGAGTGAGTCAATGCACTGATCGCAATTCCAAAAGGTATAATAATGTCACGGCCCGTGAGTGTGGTTCTCCTGCCTCTGTCTGCGGACCTCCCTCACTGTCCTGTAATCGCGAACGGTCTCTGTCAGTCACAATATTATTCAGTGCATTTCTGGTGCATCCATCGATAGCCACCAGTTGATGCTCAATGAATGAGACCACTTCAGCGTTCAGCCGCATGTGTTTTATTATCAAGCTTCCACAGTCCGTTCAGGATAAATTAAATAGAGGCTCCTTGAGAAGATTCTAATCATAAACGGAGAGACGTTCGCATTTTAACGCGATTACTGCCCCAACATTATTGCTGCTACTTCATGGATGCAGTGGTCCCTGTAGGCAATATCTTTACCAGCAGGTAAAGGATGTCCAGACACCGTTCCAGACAACAACACATACGGGGCAGCAACTGCACATGCGCACTTTTAAACTCATAATTATGACTTTAAAACTCATAATTTTGACTTTTAAACTCAAAATGTCAACTTTCTGTAGGCATTTTTTTTTTTTACATGGCGGAAACGGGCCTCCATAATTATTAACTATGATGTCATTATTATTATTTTCATGCATAACAATACCTAAGGGTTGTTGATATTTTGTATTCACATGTTTGGAGTAATATTTTGATGATAATGTAGCGATCCATCAAAAATGTTCTAAAGTTTGCTTGTGGCTTTATTGAGATTCAAGGCTTCATTCTCACTGGTTCACTTTACATACTTTCACTCAAACACCAACAAGTGAACAATTGTCCACAATAGTCACCAAAACCAGTTTCCATGGTTTGAAATTGATTTTTGAAGTATTTTGTTTTACCTAACGTGAACCAGACTAACAAGTTGATGCTCTTCCTTTTCTTACGGTTGAATTCGAACTGGGCATTTCTGAGTGGAGTTTACAAGTTTCCTCCAAGTTCCCCAAGTTAAAGAAAAAGAAAAAATACAGAAAATCTAAATTTTATATAATTATAAAATAAGAATTTTGTCAATAACAAAAGTCCACCTCAATACTTTGCTATGCCCTCTGTTCATAATGACAGAGGTAAAAAGTTTTCTGTCTGTCTTCACAAGGTTTTGAAACACTGTTGAAATGTACTTTTTGCAGTCCTTCCTATTGAACTAAAAAACATACCAATGGACAATAAAGATACAAAATGTGAAAAATATGCATTTGACGATATAGATAGATAGATACTTTATTGATACCCGTATTAGGAGAAATTCAAGCGTCCAGTCGCATCAAAAAATAAAAATAAAATTGATCATTCTAAAAAGCTAACAATAGTAATAATAAGCAACGGCCTTCAGGTCACAGCAGCAAACTACTCCACCATGTCACGTATCCTGCTTGGTTCGGACAATTTTCTCTTCTCTGATCCAAAGTAAAAGGCTGAATGCGTCATTAGTAGTTTTCATAAAGTTAGCCTTCCTCCAGTGGATTTTCACCTGATACGTTTGGACCATAAATCCTCTCCGCTCTGGTCTGGATCAGTGCAAAACCATGAACCATTATTTTTTTGTAAAGCACAACTTTTTCAGAGATACTTAGGACCTGCTGCCATTTCCAGCGCTGTCTCCTCTTTTTCACTCCCTATCTCAGTGGTAGTAACACTTTGACTGTGTGAGTCCTCTTTTTTTATCAAGTATTAGCAGCAGTGTAAAAGACAAATCTTACTGCTAATGAAGTGGGGAGTATGAGCAAATACTGAGTCAAATGCAAATATAACGGATGGCTAGACAGTTGGTTCAAAGGCAGAAGACACATTCTCACAAGGACAAATCTGCTGCTCATCTTGGACTGATAGACTTGCACGTTTGAGTGACAAATACAACTTTTATTCTCTTAAATGCATGAGGTATCAATGGAAACAGAGATAATGTTTTTGTAGGCAACATCAACATTTTAGTTAGACAAGAGACAAGTGATAATTTTAGACCACTTCTTAATGAGTCATTGACAGTCATAGCTCACCTGTGGGCATAGGTGAAGTCATCTATTATGAACATGTTACACATTGGCCAGTGTTCTCAACTTTTCCCCAGGAGTCCACAGGAAAATGAAATAGATGATTGTTTTGGCTGGTCAAATGTCTCTCTTTATTATTGTTGTAAAAAATATGACGCTGTTTAGAGCTTCTGCCTCTCAGCACGAAAATAATCACATCCAATAATTTCTCCTTCCTGTTACTGTGGCTTCTCTGTGGGAGATCTGCTTCCTCCTGTTCAAAGACATGCATATTAATATGAATGATTCTGAAATACCTAATTGAATAGTAAATGAGTGGATAACTGTTGTCTTTGAAAAGGACTGACATTGCTCTATAACCTGACAATGGATAAAGCAATGTATTGTTGCAATATCATAATATCATAATCATACTCTCGCTTTTTTGCTTGAAGGAAAATAAGCCGCTGATCCCTGAGATTAATGTGACCTCCTGACGTTGCGTAAAGGGGTGCATAAAACATAGTTTATGACCAGTATTGAGATTTCACATGTTCTATATATATTAAATAATGAGACAAAAAAAAATAATCTATGGAGACTGTAAACTCCGAATATGTATACTTATATCAATACATTGTTGCTAAATGTTCCTATTTATGTTCATGCTTTCAGAAGTTCACTACAACTTCAAATTAAAATCAACTTAATATATAAAATAAGATGAACTTTTCATCAGAAACTTCTGAAAGTGAGTTCAAGTGGCTCACAACAGACAGTTCCAGTTCCAACTGGCAATTTTATTGTCAGTGAATGCAAAAATCTTAGTAAGTTGAACAATTTTGAGTTGTATTTTTTACAGTGTTTACACTAAAGGCAATTACTGTAAATAAGTTACTTACAGCACATTGCTGTACTTACTGGGACATATAACATGGAATCAAACATGGAATGGTGCAAAGTGACATGATGCAGATGACTTGAGCGCATTCTTCCATCTGAGACCAGTTCTGCTCTCCTCCTCTTTGTTAGCGCTGTTGTGATTTATGAGTGTGCTATGAAGCCTGGCTTGGTTCAGATTGATGCTCACAGCCGTGAGGTTTGGAAGCTTGTGTTTGTGAAGAGGTTAGCATGCTCCTAGATTCCCTCATTGTTTTGCGATCCAGGGATATGCAGCTCGCCCTCTTTGTCGGTTCTGATGGGATTTTCCTTTGACTCAGCAAACTGCAGTAACAAAACCACACAGACCGCAAATTAGTGAAGAGGCTGACCGCCGCATAAAGCTGCAGATGTGACAGTGGCTTATACCAGAGACATGGAGAAAAGACTAATTGGGCATTTAGTTTATATTCTGGCTCTCGGTACATCATTTCACGCTTAAGTCCATTAGTAATATTGTCAAGTTGCCTTTTTCAATATTATGACTATATTGGGTGAATTTAACTGACCTAAAACAGTTGAGAATTTCATGAATACTCCCAGTGTCTATAATAAAATTGTTTCAAATTGAAAACATAAATAAATAAATACTGCAAATACATTACAGTTCTTTGACATGGTCATTGCAAAGATTGTTACCTAATCGCCTCTTGGCTGCCAAGCTTTATTTTTTTATTGCCCCCTATGACCAGTCTTCCACACTGTTATTGACACGGTAAGAAATATTTTACCTCCAAACCTAGTAGCACCTGTGCCCTCTAATTCTGCCCCTTTTATAGGAGAATGGGAGTTTACTTTTCAAAAGTAATTTTGAACCAAGGTAAGTTGGAGAAAAACGTCGTCCATGAGCTCTTTCCTTTCACAAAGCTAGTGGGTTAGCATTGACAACTGGGGGACTTTGCAAACAGGCCTTTTTCAGATATATAATACACTGGAAAATCCAGTATCTGTTTTGTTTTGTTTGCTTATCTGCTTACTTACCCGTAAAAACAAAAAAGGCATTGTTTATGACTACCAAATATTTTGTTTATGGAATTATACTCGTCATCAATCGCAAGGCATCAAAGCTTCAAAAGTTTGCATTTGAAATTTTCATTTGCATGAAAGTTGCCCTTAGATTATACAATATTTACAGATAAGTCAAACATAACATTCATCCTGAAGGTGCAGTGCAGTGTTTTGGTCGATTTAATCTTTTAACCATGACACAGCAGCAGCAGTGTGGTTACATTACCCGGGCAAAAGTAAAAGACAGTGCAGCAAAATGTTGAATTGTCTTCTACTTTTGCAGGCCTGAAGAAGTCTTTCCCCACAGACAGACTGAAACAGAGGAGAAGCGTGGCTCGGAAAGCTGATAAATGTGCCTGGACTAAGGGCCAAAAGCTGCAGATTTAACAAGGGATACAGTGTCATTGATCCAGGATTTAAAGTGTCTGTCTTGGCTGCAGTGGGCTATAAGGACAGTCCTGGATTACTTTCCTCTATCTAGGGGCCACTGAAGAAGGATATAGCCGCTGTTTATAGCGTTTACGCTTATAAAAAGGCATAACGTTTGATGATGCGTTTTATGGTAGATACTATAATCCACTGTATGTGAAAGAACTTCAGTAAGTCTAGACATACCAGGAAAATGCATGATATTTTCTTGCATTGATGCCTACTTCTCTGTCAAAATGTTGGCATATTGTTTTCAGTAAAATTGAACCTGAAAGCAATCAATAATATTTGTTAATTAAAACGTAAAAATGTAAGACAGACTTCTTCTTTGACAAGGTTGAAATCCAGGTAAAAACAGTTTGTATACATTATTTATCTTCACTTTTTAATGTGCTGTGATTATGTATAATTTTAATGTGTTGTATGATTGTTTCTATCTTGCTTTGTTCAGCATTTTGGGCTGCCTTGTGTATGACTTGTGCTATACAAATAAACTTTGCCATAAGCCTTTCCTAAATAGGCAGTCGAAAGCTGCTCTATTTCATGAGCACACAACACATATTGTTCCACTAACTTGAAAGTGTACACATCCAAGCAGAAATGTCCCTATTTCACAGACTATATACTCATAGTAATTGTGTGAAGCCATATATTGTCAAATCAACATGTATTCTTGTGGTTGTGCGATTTGGTATTGTTTCTGAGTGCTAAACACAAGATAAAAATAAAAATAAACACGGCACGGTGGCTGAGTGGATAGCACTCTCGCCTCTCAGCAAAAAAGTCCTGGGTTCGAATCCCGGTTGGACCAGGGCCTTTCTGAGTGGAGTTTGCATGTTCTCCCCGTGTCTGCGTAGGTTTCCTCCGGGTGCTCCGGTTTCCCCTACCACTAAAAATATGTGCAATAGGTCTGGCATGACAAAAAAATCACAATTGTAAACCGCTTTGAGAATCCGATGTGCAGTGAAAAGGTGGTATATAAATAAAGATTACTGATAAAAAAAAAAAAAAAAGGAAATCATTTGTGAAATTTTTTTGACAGAAAGGACGGAAAAATCATAAAGTTGTTACTCCTATTACTTAATATGCTTTTATTTGGCTATAGTAGAGTAATGCCAATGTTTCGGCCTGGAAGCCTTCGTTGGAGCATTCACAGGTCTTGTATTAAACTGTTTATAAAAGCGCAGTTGGAGTGGCAGATCAATCAAGATATGAGCCATTTTATTTGAAGATTTTTTCTCACATTTTTTTTATCTCATTATTATTAAAACAAATTATTATGGTTTGTGTTTCCTTTTAGTAATCATCATTTAGTTAGATTTGGTGTCGGTGAAAATATGTTTTCTGATTTCAAATTGACAATAGAAACTCCTCAGTTGACCCTGTAAATTCTTGGGCTGCCCATGCATTGAATGACTCATTTGAGATCTCACCAGAGCAGCTCAATAATGTGATAATTTGAAAATAGAAAACACATTTATTTCATAATAAATGGCGTCACACAATCAAAAAGATTTTTATTATCATTCATAATCTCCGAAATATGGACACAATAATGACATTTTTCTCTTGGTTTCTAAACTCAAGCACAACTGTATGCTCGAATACAGTATCACACATTATCACAAGTTAAACTAACCTTTAAATGGATAATTAGTTTGTATTTACCAACTTGGTAAAAATTGCAATGTATAGCAAGAAATATGACCATCTCATTGTGTCCCATTGACGCACAAATACGTCAAATGCCTTTTTTGCTATTTTCACGTTCCCAGATGTCTATTGTATCTAATATGTATGGGGATGACTTGAGACCATATTTTATCGAGCCAGCAGGTGGCAGCATTGCTCTCTGAATGGTTTGAAAACATGTAGGTGCACATGTTGTGCCTCTTTTTTCTCAACTTTCTGGTGATTTCTGGTGATTTCAGTAAAACTTCCCTCTACTCAACGGAGGATTACAGGGGAACGAAAAAAGCTATAAACAAAATTCTTTTTGCTGAGGAAAGTAGACAGTCCATTCTTTTAGAATCTGGTGTCGGATTTCAGATAGTCATAGTACACAATATTCTGTGGGTCTTGAAAAATCAGTAAAAATCATCATAAATGGCTGGCACTGTGGGAGTGTATGTTCTGAAATAGGCTGGCATTCAATGAATAGATCAATGTGGTTTTCTTGATTCTACAAAAATGGTTCTTGGACAAGTGACCAAAGGGAAAATTGATAGTTTTATATAACAATGATTTCTTTCTTTGGTGAGGAGATAGTTTTGGGGGCAGAAGGGCAAGCAGAGACTAAAATTAGATCTCCCCAACATATTATATTTCAACATTTCACAGTGGACAAACACAGGCCGTTGCTTCTCTTTCTTCTGCAGATGAATAAAATCAATTCACTTTTATTGCGGCCATGATCTTATTCTCAGCCAATTTGCGTGTGCCCCACATCAGTCAGTGGGTAACCTGTGCTGTGGTGTTGTCTCAGGTCTGGATGACTGTCTGCAGCAGTACGTGGGCGTGTTCGAGCGAGGGGGGGTGAGTGGAGACCGGCTGCTCAGAATCAGCCACGCAGAGCTGGAGGAACTGGGGGTGTCCCGCATCGGCCACCAAGAACTGATCCTGGAGGCTGTGGACCTGCTCTGTGCTCTGGTGAGGGGAAATATCAATAATTTGTCAACTTTTGTTTGTGGAGCGCTTTTCCCACACAAGGCAGCACAAAGCGCTTTGCAACCCATCTCACATCAGGCATAAATCATATACATTAAACTTTACATAGATAAAATGATTTAAAAATACAATTAAAAACAAACATTAAAGTAGTACTAGAATTTAATATGCTGCTATCCAGAATATATAACTACAATATATGTTTGTAATATTTCGGGTGTTCATTTTGACATGTTCAGATGAATTATGTTAAAAAAACGCACCTTTTCACTTCTGCATAGAAACGCTAGGTGGCGCCAGAATGGCGGCGATGACGTAGAGAATGACCTCTCACAGCAGCAGTCTTGGCTGAAAACTGTAGGAGGGTTCACTGTCATCTGAACAAGGTATAAACGTATTTTCATCAGTTTTGTACATAATAGTGCGCAACTCTTTTAACCTTTTAGCCTTACTTGTGAGATTCAAGCTAATTAGTGTTGGGCAAGTTAGCTAACTCTACTTGATATCATAAAACATGCTAACAAGGCTAATATTCGTTTTTACATTATGCCAGTCTCACTTTGGTTGCCTTAGATTTATTTACAACAATGTACATTGTAATATCCATACATGCTAATCAAAATAACTTGAATTAAATAAATATTTTACTTTTATGAACAAAAAGCTGCAGAAGTTGAAAACATAGACACAAGAGCTAACATGATAACTACATGTGATGCAATCATTGATAAAAATGCTAATAAAACCGGTAATAGGTGTTAGCATTTATGGATATTACAATGTACATTGTGGTAAATAAATCTAAGGCAACCAAAGTGAGACTGGCATAATGTAAAAACGAATAGTAGCCTTGTAAGCATGTTTTATGATATCAAGTAGAGTTAGCTAACTTGCCCAACACTAATTAGCTTGAATCTCACAAGTAAGGCTAAAAGGTTAAAAGAGTTGCACACTATTATGTACAAAACTGATGAAAATATGTTTATACCTTGTTCAGATGACAGTGAAACCTCCTACAGTTTTCAGCCAAGAGGTCATTCTCCTACGTCATCGCCACCGTTTTGGCTCTACATATTCAAATTAATATGTAGATGCTATACTACTTATATTACTGATTCAAAATACATTCAAGTTCCTGTGTCCTGCATAAAGAGTTAATTTTATAAATTTGTATACTACTACTATTATAACCGAGGGGTAATGTTGCGATGTCGAATCATCAGGTCCTTGTGGATGTTTTTCTGGTTTGTTTGTTACTTTGTAGACTTTCATTAACCTTGTCCACTGTCACTCTCCTAATGCCAACCAGGCTAATTTATAGATTTAAAAGCAGCAATAAATCCTCTTACAGTCACTGAATTATTACATATGTGATGTCTAAATCATGGGGGATAAGTCTCTACCTCCTTGTTCCATCACTGCTGCGACAAGTAGATGTTTAATTAGCAAGATATAAATATGTAAATGTGTATAAGAATATGCATATTGTTATGAAATATGGATATGAACTATGTCCACACACCACACACCTAACCACAGCGGCGCAAAAGTGGGTTTATGATAATAAAAAAAAAACAGCTTGGCAAATTATTCTAAGTACACTATTATAATATCACTGTATCATTATTGGATTTGAAAGAAGCTCAAAATGTGGATTTTAACATTACAGATTTTTTAGTGGCTTTGGTTTAGATTTTGGAGTTTTGGAAGTGTACATATTTAAATATAGTTACAGTTGTCCTATAGAGGTGAAGCAAAGCCTATATGTACAAATGTATGCTTAAAGCTCTCAAAGCATAGAAACAACACATACTAATTGTAATTGATCAAATTAATCAACTGAATGAAGCCATTATGTTGGTTTACTTTGTTCACAACACTTTACTATCACCAGACTCTTTCTATTGGGACTAAAAAAATAGAAAATGTTTGGCAGAGCAGTTTTTCTATATGACATTGTTTGTTCCAGAACTCAGGGCTGGAGACAGAGAGTGTGCGAACTCTTGCTCACAAACTCGGTGCTTCGGCCAAAAACCTTCAGAACTTCATTTCTGGTCGGCGTCGCAGCAGCCAAACAGAGAGCAGGACGTCACGGAGGCTTCCCAACGATCTCTTAACCTCCGTGGTGGACCTCATCAGTGCAGCTAAGAGTCTGCTGGCCTGGCTCGACAGGTACGAGGCCGAGGCCACAAGTATTCTGTCTTATGCTCTGTCTCATGGCCTCAGTTGGCTACAGGGAACATACCAGCATTTACTTCACATCTTGTGCCTGTTTTATAGTTATTTTTTCTCATATCATTTACACTCACAGTTGAGTATTTCATACACTCACAGTTGTTTATAGAGCATTTCATACATACTTGAGTAATCTAATCTATACTCTCTTACCCTGGATGTGCCTTTGCTTCAACCCTCGCTCATTGGACCACCACCATCTAAACACACCCACTGTTTTATTTTGATGATCGTAAATAGGGCTGGGCGATATGACTGAAAACTATCACAATAAAAGTTATCTATATCTGTCAATACTGATAATTATAATTTTTTTTGTTTTTTAAACCTAAATAAATACATTTGTCGAGTCAGCTAACACCTTGTTTACAGTCACGGGGGAATGAGAACTGAGGCTATAAATATATGAGTAAGTTCATAAGCACAGTGTCCCCCATTGTCAGTCCTGGTTTAGTCCTGGTTTAGTCCTGCTTTAGCTCCTGGTTTGGCTGTTCTCAAGTGTTTTGTGTCCCCGTGACGTCTTCGTGCGGCTCTCTGATACGTGCTTCCACAGGAAAAAGTTAATCTCTTGTTTTTCCCGTATGCATCGAGTCACTTTGCCCACTGCCTCTCCCGCACCGCACATGCTTTTCCTCGCACAAACGTGCATTGATACAGCATTGAAACACGACAACTTTAGATCTCCGGTCCTAAAGACCGGACCGGTTGTTTTTTTTGCATTTCCCAGAATATTTTGCGGTTCACGCTTGGCCGTGATAGGTCGAGAAGCCTCTGCCTACATCCCCCAGAATGCTGCGCGCTTCTGACTCGGCTTTACTTCCTTTGTTTTCTTCCTGTTATTTCTAACGAAGTGAAGTTAAACTATCGAACATTCTATTGACCCCATTTTCTATTGATATTGAACACGTATCTATCGCAATATATATCGTTATCGTTTTATTGCAACGCCCTGATTGTAAAATATATCCACTGTTCACTAACTTGATCCATATAGGACACATATGACTTTTACTGCTGGATATAAAAGCATTGTGGCGGTTCATTTGAAGGGGAACAAATGCTAATCGCAGTTTAAATCAATTAACAAAGTAATAGATACAAAATATTGTGGTATTTTATACCTATGTATCCTTTTCGCAACATTTATCAAAATCAGAATCAGAATAATTTTTATTGCCACGTGAGTAACAGGAAGTCACAGACTATGCAACAGTCAGAGAGATATAATAAAAAAATAAAGAATAAAAAACACTTCTAAGGAATACATTTAAATTTAAAATAGAGTTACAGTTACTATTTACAATATACCAGTGCACATGGTGCACACAATGTAAGGTGACAGCAGTACAGTGAAGTAAAGTGACGTATGATGGGCAGTAAAGTGACTTTATAAAGGGCGGGGGGACATATTAAGAAGTGTTCAAGAGTCCAACAGCAGAGGGGAAGAAACTGTTCTTGTGGCGGGAGGTTCTAGTCCTGATGGACCGCAGTCTCCTGCCTGAGGGGAGTGGTTGGAATAGTCCATGTGCAGGGTGAGAGGGGTCGGCTGTGATACGACCAGCCCGTCCTCGAGCTCGGGCAACGTACAGGTCCTGCAGCGATGGAAGGCTGCGGCCGATCACTTCCTCTGCAGAGCGCACAATGCGCTGTAGTCTCTGTTTGTCCCTGACTGTGGCTCCAGCGAACCACACGGTGATGGAGGAGGTGAGGATGGACTCGATGATGGCCGTGTAGAACTGCACCAACATCTGTGCATGCAGCTTCGCTTTCCTGAGCTGCCGCAGGAAGTACATCCTCTGCTGGGCCTTCTTGATGAGGGAGCTGATGGTAGGCTCCGACTTGAGGTCCTGGGTGATGGTGGTGCCCAGGAAACGGTAGGACTCCACAGAGGTGATGGGGGAGTCCATCACGGATGGTGGGGGCGGGGGGACAGTGCTCTTCCTGAAGTCGACAATCATCTCCACTGTCTTCTGGGCGTTCAGCTCCAGTTTGTTACCACTGCACCAGGACACCAGCCGGTCCACCTCCCTCCTGTAGGCGGACTCATCGTTGTTGGAGATGAGTCCAATGAGGGTGGTGTCGTCCGCGAACTTGATCAGCTTCACAGAGTTGTGGCTGGAGGTGCAGTGGTTGGTGTACAGGGAGAAGAGCAGGGGAGAAAGAACACAGCCCTGTGGGGCTCCTGTATTTATAATCCGAGAGTCCGAGACATTCTTCCCCAGACGCACTCGCTGCTTCCTGTCCGTCAGGAAGTCAGTGATCCACCTGCAGGTGGAATTGGGCACGTTGAGCTAGGAGAGCTTGTCCTGGAGCAGGGATGGTGTGTTGAAGGCAGAGCTGAAGTCCATGAACAGGACCCTGGCATAGGTCCCCGGGGAGTCCAGGTGCTGTAGGATGTGGTGGAGGGCCGGTGGAGGGCCGTCGTCTACAGATCTGTTGGCTCTTTAGGCGAACTGCAGGGGGTCCAGGAGGGGGGAGGTGAAGGACTTGAGATGGGAGAGAACCAGGCGTTCAAATGACTTCATGACGACAGATGTAAGTGCTACAGGTCTGTAGTCATTGAGTCCTGTGATCCTGGGCTTCTTCGGGACGGGGACAATGATGGAGGATTTGAAGCAGGCCGGGACATGGCAGGACTGCAGAGAGGTGTTGAATATGTCAGTGAACACAGGAGTAAGCTCACTGGCGCAGTGTCTCAGAGTGGCCGGAGACACGTGGTCCGGGCCAGGAGCTTTGCGGGGGTGCAGCCTCAAGAAGAGTTGTTTAATATCTTTAGAGGCTATTGTCAGGCTGGGGGCAGGGCTGATGGGTGGGTCGTTAGAGTAGTGGGGGGTGGGGGAGCTGTCAGGGGCAGCATCAAAGCGACTGAAAAAAAAGTTCAGTTCGTCAGCTAGCTTGTGGTCGTCAGCACAGGGGGGGGCTTTGGGCTTGTAGTTGGTGATCTCCCGTAGGCCCCTCCAGACAGAAGCAGTATCATTGTTACCCAACTGCTCCTGTAGTCGTTCTCTGTGCCGGGACTTGGCTGCTTTCAGTTCTTTCCTGAACTGATAATTAGCTGCTTTGTAGCCGCTGCGGTCCCCCTCCCTGAAAGCAGACTCCTTTGCTTTCCTGAGCTGCCGGAGTTTAGCAGTGAACCAGGGTTTGTCATTGTTATAGATGACCCTGGTCCTTGTTGGAATGATGCTATCCTCGCAGAAGTGAATGTATGACGTCACAGTGTCCGTGTAATCATCCAAACTGTCTGTGGCAGCTCTGAAAAGGTCCCAGTCTATAGATTCCATGCATGCGCGCAGCTCTGCCTTTGTTTAGTACTCTGCAAAACCGGAACATTATGAGGATTCAAAATATGTTTTGCTGACTTCACCTTAATATTTCTAATGTACTAGAGCCACTAGTGTTGTAGATGATCACTTTATAGTAGACAGAAGCATTTTATTTCTTGTTGAATAATGGAAAATCTATTGTAGTATCTGCATGTTCTGAGCACATATTGACCACATCTCACTGACTGATAAAAAAGTGCATTATGAGTAAAAAGGTAGATTATCTTTATGTTTCACAAAACATAAACTTAAAAAAACGAGTCATCTAAGCTAAGACACCTATTTATTAATGAAATAACGACTACAAATCTCCCACCCTGGTCTGTATAATGCAGACATGTATGCATGATGTATGACCACTTCAGCCTAAATAAACTGTGAGTTCTGGAGGTGCCTCTCTGTTAAGAGTTTGCATGTTCTCCCTGTGTCTAATTATTGTCGCCCAAACACTCAAGGCTTTATCAGCAGTTTGTTGGCTATGTTCTGGCTCATTCCAACTTGCTGCTGAGACATATTTTTTTGCTGTGACAGTGAACAAATATGTGCCGCACGGTGGCTGAGTGGATAGCACTCTTGCCTCTCAGCTGGAAGGTCCTGGGTTTGAATACCTGTCGGAACAGGGACTTTCTGAGTGAAGTTTGCATGTTCTCCCCCTTGCCTGCGTAGGTTTCCTCCGGGTACTCCGGTTTCCGGATTAATTTTCCCTACGGGGATTGATAATCTGCACCTTTACCTTTATATTATTATGTAAATATAATTATTTTACAATATCGTTCATCTTACATTATTGTGATATGAGCCAATAAATATATTCTGCCATATCTGCAAAGAACCACTGCTTCATTGGATGCAGGGTATTGGTTCATGTCTCCTCCAAACTGTGACCAAGACCTTTTATGTAAACTCTCACAAACTTACATAAGAAAATTAAACACATACTGTACATGACGGATTCACTTTATGTCTCGTCTTTTAAGTCTTGACAACCAGAGAGGTATTCATAAAGCATCGCCTCATATCATCCTGTCAAACCAGAGTCATCTCCTAAGTGAAACAATTTTAACACTTGAGTTTGATGTTTTTATTTGGAGACTACTTATATAAGTAGTCTCCTTCTTGAGGATCTGAAATCCGCCTTTGGCTTTGAGAACAGTGATATCCTGGAAACCCACACATAAATCCTGTTTAAGCTGCACGTCCTTTTTGACTGTCCCAAAAGTGAACTTGTCAGCGCCATTATTTGGACCAAAAACTCAGTTTTACCCTTGTTTTAAATTCACTATATTGTACTTTTGGCTGTTTATAGCATTTGTAAGCTTGTCATTACACGTCCAAGAATTTTTAGTTGGCCGATTGTAAAACCAATGCAGAACCTGGAAATGCATGGGACAAGGAACAAATAATATAATGTTATACGTTTTCCAGATCACTGTCTGGAGCCATTCATTATTCTAAAAAATGGAAAGCGTCTCTTGACGGAGGTCTGAGCTCTACGAGTGCAGGAAAGTTTATCCGTTTGTTCCACAGTTCTCTTCCTTGTTCCACAGTTCTTTCATTAACATTTTACTGACCCTTAATTTTTCTATTATAAATTCTCTCATTGTGCATTGTACTTTAGGCCTTTAGTAGAATCTTCAATACACCTCCAAGAATGTCATTGCCACTTATTAAATCAATGAAGAACTCTTTTAGGAACAAGTTATTACATTTTCAGAAGTCTCTGGATCCATATACAATTTTTAAACAGAATGGACTACGCCTCTTGGTGGGATGTCTGTGCTCTACGACTAGTAATATATACTGAATTATAATTCATGTATTTTTTATGTACGGTAGTGACTCTTATTCTTTTCATTAACTTGTAGCGTTTTTGCGATCCGTCCTTCATGGCACTGGGCTTTTAAAGACAAATGAGTGTGGTATATCATATACAGTGGGGGAAAAAAGTATTTAGTCAGCCACCGATTGTGCAAGTTCTCCCACTTAAAATAATGACAGAGGTCTGTAATTATCATCATAGGTACACTTCAACTGTGAGAGACAGAATGTGAAAAGAAAATCCATGAATTCACATTGGAGGATTTATAAAGAATTTATTTGTAAATTATGGTGGAAAATAAGTATTTGGTCAATAACACAAATTCAACTCAATGGAAGGAGGTTTTGGCACAAAATCTCACGATACATTCATTCTTTCCTTAACACGGATCAGTCGTCCTGTAACTTTAGCAGAAAAACAGCCCCAAAGCATGATGTTTCCACCCCCATGCTTCACAGTAGGTATGGTGTTCTTGGGATGCAACTCAGTATTCTTCTTCCTCAAAACACGACGAGTTGAGTTTATACCAAAAAGTTCTACTTTGGTTTCATCTGACCACATGACATTCTCCCAATCCTCTGCTGTATCATCCATGTGCTCTCTGGCAAACTTCAGACGGGCCTGGACATGCACTGGCTCAAGCAGGGGGACACGTCTGGCACTGCAGGATATGATTCCCTGTCGTCGTAGTGTGTTACTGATGGTTACCTTTTTTTACTTTGGTCCCAGCTCTCTGCAGGTCATTCACCAGGTCCCCCCGTGTGGTTTTTTGATCACCGTTCTCATGATAATTTTGACCCCACGGGATGAGATCTTGCGTGGAGCCCCAGATCAAGGGCTACATTTGGGCTATCTTTTATACAGATAACGAGTTCCAACAGGTGCCATTAATACGGGTAACGAGTGGAGGACAGAAGAGCTTCTTAAATAAGAAGTTACAGGTCTGTGAGAGCCAGAGATCTTCCTTGTTTGAAGTGACCAAATACTTATTTTCCACCATAATTTACAAATAGATTCTTTAAAAATCCTACATTGTGAATTCCTGGATTTTTTTTTCACATTCTGTCTCTCACAGTTGAAGTGTACCGATGATGAAAATTACAGACCTCTGTCATTATTTTAAGTGGGAGAACTTGCACAATCGGTGGCTGACTAAATACTCTTTTGCCCCACTGTATGTCTGGACGGTCCAAGAAAATGACATACTATAAATCACACACTCATACTGTAAACATCATACTGTATGAAACAGATTGATGACATATATGTCCCCCATGAGCCTTTGACCCCATTTTGTCAAATGCCGTTATTCAAAAATATATTTTTGCATTTTGTTGTAATCCTATTCTTCTGATGTGCACAGACTTTACTCTGTCGATTCCTTTTTTCAGTCACACAGCCACTGTTCTTTACTTACTTTAATTGGATCTGATATGTCTCCAATCCTGTATTCTTTGCATACATTTTGGACATAGGAACTTCACCAAAGCCACATTGAAGCTGAATGAATGAATGAATGAAAGCTAGTTCTTTAAATGCAAATATTCTAATTCAACCAGTCATGTATTTAAAATTGAAATGCCAAATTATAATAATAATAATAATGCATTGGTTTTATATAGCGCTTTTCTGGACACTCAAAGACGCTTTACATTTCATTATTCTTTCACACCATACACGGTGGTGATAAACTACTACTGTAGCCACAGCTACCCTGGGGCACACTGACAGAAGCAGTCTGCGCCATCGGCCCCTCCGACCACCACCAACCATTCACACACACACCAGACTCATTCTAGGCAATGGGGGTGAAGTTTCTTGCCTAAGGACACAACAACTCATTGTTCCATAGACAATAGATTTGTATTTTACATTATGTCTGAAATTCTGAAATGCTCGATAAAGAGGCAGGTGGTCTTCCTTACAGAAGTCATCAGAGGCTATTAGGAAAATCATCCCTTGATTTCAACTCAATCATTGATCATTCAATACTCGCTCCTTCATCTCTCTCTCTCTTTCTGGTTTTTTATCACAACACTGGAAGGTCTTTGACATCAGTTTGAAAATGTCACACACCCACGCTGCACCTTGGGCCGAGCAGACAACGACAAATGCACGGCGTCGTGTCAACAAAGCAGCACATACGAACTCCCCTGCATCCAGACCTCACACACATCTGACTGGAAGAAAGACAAGAATTCACTAAAGATAAAACCATGTTATACAATTATACAAGTTTATTAATTTTGAGCAGAAATATATTTTTTTTAAAGCTGGGCTATCTACCTTTTTTCATAAATAATACATTCTGTTTGTCCCAAGACTTTGAAAAGCAAAATGTTGTGAATAAATCAAATCACTCTCATAAGCGGATCCCTGTCTCAATGTGGACAAACACAAATTTTCTTACATATTTACAACATTATTCTACATATTTCTCACAAAAAATGTATGGACATTTATCATCTGCCCCTTATGAACCGATGGCTCTATGGGATTTTTTTGCCATTACATTTCTTGTGTTTGAACTGTGTGATTCTCTGATCTGTGTTGGCGAATAAACAGTTTTGTAAACTGTTGTGATTTACAATTACAATACAATACAATACAATTTATTATTGTATAGCCCTAGGTCACAACAGAAGTCATCTCAGAGGACTTAACAAAACCATTTAAATCACCAACACAGGTCAGAGAATCAACAGTTAAAACACATGAAGAATATAAAGCACACACAGAAGAAAATGTCCATACATGTTGTAGAATGCTAAAGTGTCCTGATCATCACCAATCCTTTCTGTTGGACACTAACTGTCCAACAAGACCCTCCTGCATCGACAAGGAAAAACTCTTAAAAAACCCAGTGGGAAAAAGTGAGAAACCTTGGGGAGAACTAGGGAAACCCACAGGGAGGGAGACCCATTTGAGAAAGGGATCCGCTCCTCCGGACGGACAGGCTAATGATCCAGGACCTAAGCTAGCTACAGAACGTGGACCAGTGGCCGCTGAAATTAGGGCTATACAAAAATAAAGTGTATTTAATTTAATTGTTATTTGCATTTGCAGTAGGGTCTAAGGCAGGGGTGCCCAAAGTGGGGCCCGCGGGCCAAAGTTGGCCCGCCAGACCATTTCAGTTGGCCCGCCAAACATTGCCCACCTCCGCTGTAAGTTTCTATCTGCGTCCCTCAGCCTCGCTGAACAAACAGTGACGTGTCTGAGGTCTCGCGGGCGCAGAGTAGCCCTCTGAACTCCGACTGTCCAGTAGTGATGTGCGATTCGTGAACGAATCGTTCAAAACTCGAGATTCACTTTACTGACTCGGGAGTCGTGATTCCCCGCCTCCATTAACTCGTTCACCAACTCGTCCGCCCACCACTTTCTAAACTGCAACCCCCAGACTGCGTTTTCTACTAGCCACAATGAATGACACTCTAATATTACGTGTGTGACTGTGTGTGTGTGTACTGTAGCTCGTTTGAGCACAGAAACCAAAAGCTTATTGTTTACAACCATCTACTTCACCGTAACGTCCTCCTTCCTGCCTGCCCGCGCCTGCTAGTACGAGCCGTACGAGCAGTGAACGACTCACTGTGGTTCTGGATCAGCCCCTTCCCGCTCCCCTTCGAGTCGTTCAGTTCTGAACGAATCGTTCATCTGATCTGACTCACTCACTCACTCAGCATCAAGCGAGTCGAAACAACAGGACAGGACACCGACTCGTCTCGTAACTCTCGTTCTCTAACTGGGTTGAAAAAAGTAGTTTCTTTTGCCCCATCTGACAAAAAATAATAACCCTCTACATGTATTATGTGAGGTAGATTGAAAAATATAATTGGCTATTTATTAAGTTATTTGTTCAGCTGTGTTTCTCTCGTCGGACAACAGGAGTTCCGCCTCGAACATTATTGGCGTTACAATGATTGTCATCAATAAAAAATGAATGTGTGAAAAATATCAAAGTTGTTTGTATTTATTATTTATATAATATAATTGTTATGACCTTTTTTTTTTTTTTTTTACCAGGAATGTAGGTTTTAACACGGAATACATTTATGTAACACCACATTTTTGGCGGAAAGTTTTAAATATTTTTATAGAAAATGGATAGTAGCCGCAGAAGAAGCGATATTTGGATGCACTTTGAAATAACAGGCCCATCACGAGCAAAATGTCAACTCTGTTCGTGTTATTGTATTTCTTGTATTGTGACAGCCCCTCGCTTGGAATGTTGTTGCTGCTTTGTTCACAATTTTACTGTTGAATTGTTAAATTTAAAGAGTTTATATTTTGTCAAATTAGTTTACATATTTGTTATTGTTTATTTCTTACTTTTCTACTTACTTACTATTTCTTTCTACTTATCAAATTTTAATAAATGTTTTGATTGTAAATTGCCATTTTGTGTTCATGTATGTTTTTTTCTGAACAACTGAATCACTGAATCAAATGACTCAAAACACCCGATTCACTTTGGTGAGTGATTCACTTTAACTCGAGTCAGTAAAATGAATCGAACTTTACATCACTACTGTCCAGTACTTTACTTTTGTATCGAGATACACTCCTCACTCATGGTTCACATCAACTTGCACTAAACTGTTTTTTAAAATCAAACACATCTTTCAAAACAATTGGATGCAAGGCCCCTTTATGTTCTTTTTTTTCAGCCTACTATTATTATTTTTTGGAGCTATTTAATGTTTTATCAAATTGAGAGGATTGTGCTGCCGAACTGCCACTCCCCCTCCTCACCGGAGGGAAATGGCGAGTAGAACTATTCACCTGCGCAATCCGCACCCACCCGGTGTGTTAAAAAGGACGGACACAAACACTTCAGAGTGAGTTCAAGCAGGACAAGCAGGGATCGCAGCGCACAATCCACGCAAGTAGAAGCAACAAATACTGTGCAAAACAAGCCCTTCTACAACCCCATGAAAGAAGCCGGTAAGCGCCGTCCTCACTCGCGATCATTGAATGTCAGACAGAACTTACGCGGAGTTTTATGATGCGTTCAAGAGCCCTTTGGAGGAGCGGAAACTCGGACTCTTTAACAGTTACTTTGTTTTGATGGTTTATAAATTTTGTACTGTGTTTAGGCAAAACAAAACAAAACTCCAGGAACAAATCATGGTTAACTAGTCTGATTTTGTTAGTTTAATATTCAGTTCACTACTAATTGAGAATACTTGTCCTATGTTAAAAATATCAAGTTAAAAGAGTTAAAACCTGATCATGTTTAGAAAATGCAGTTAGCAATTATGTTCCCAAATTCATTACTTAATGTTAAAATGTATTGTTTAAAAGTGTGCTAAAACCAGATCTATTGATCAGTGATGTCTCCCCTTTTTGATAAAAGCTAAGATAAAGTAATATGATTCAAATGTAGTTAAAAACTTTTGTTCAAAATAAATATATGAAAATAGACTTGGAAATTGCTTTGGCTCAGTGCAACAGAGATAATAAAAATAAAGAATAAAAAACACTTCTAAGGAATACATTTACATTTAAAATAGAGTTAGTTACTATTTACAATATACAAGTGCACATGGTGCACACAAAATGTATGTTTCTGTTCTCTTTTTGAGGTTTTATTATATGATTTTAACCTTTAAATAAGCCATGACAGAAAATCTCCCTCCTCTGGACCCTGATTACCCGGCCGGAATCTTTCCGTACTGTAGTCTCCTCAAACCTGCATATTTCCCTGGAGTCTCCATTTCACTAAGACTGTGTTGATTTCATTCATTCAGCTGTGATTTGCACTGCTAGACAATAATTAATGCATTTAAAAGAACTTGATCAAATCTACATTTATTTGTGTTTCATGCATAATATTGGTGTATTTGGCCCGCGGCCCACTGGCAAATTTTTACTTTGGCCCTTGGAAGCAAAAGGTTTGGGCACCCCTGGTCTAAGGAGAGTGATGATCCAGGCCTTTTAAGGACATTTATGGACATTTCTCAATATTTATGGACATTGGTCCACTCTTATGGACCAATCGCTCCTACGTGTTTGTTGTTATTGCATTTCCAACTGTCTGATTCTCTGATCTGTTGTTGAGGAATTGACAACTTTGTAAAGTCCTCCAGGATGATTGTGATTAAGGGCTACAGTAGGTCCCATTTCGTTTTGTCGCCTTTCACGCGTGAATAGCACGAGACTCACGTGTAAAACACGCGTCTTTTATTTTTTTTTCCCCCAGTGATGCTGCAATGACCCAAACAACCACCAGGTGGCACTTGTGAGCAGGGTTAGCAACATTGGCTTCTCACCGCTCTTTGTTCTCTCTTCACCGGACAATTTTCTGTGGCTTTATAGCTCAATGATAAGGAGCTAGACTCTGGTGCGAGAGGACCCGGGTTCAAGTACAGGCTATGACACTTTTGATTTTGTTGACGTTTACATTTTTTCTAAAACATACTTAGTAAATAGGCCAACACATTTAAAATAGTTGCTAGACTTTAGTAAACTCTTAAAACGCGCTGGGTGTCACACATGGCTGGGGGCATTAACGCACGGGTTGCCACTATTCATTCTATTACTATTACTATTACTATTCATATTCCTGGAAAATTTTCATTTCCTCTATAAATTCATTCATGTCATTGATGGCCTAATAATAGTGTAGTAGCCTACATAGGATAAAATATATGCAGCATAATATGAACTAATACATATTTATATAAATATTGCATTAATTATGAGGCAGGGTGACCAATAGTGACAGATCTGCCAGCCAATCACGAAAGATTATACTTATTTGAAAGTAGTGATTTCATCCAATGGGGAGTAAGCTTCATCCAATGGGGAGTAAACTACTAGGAGTAATCCCACGTGGGCTGGCCATGTGTGATTTTTCAGCCAATCACGAGTTTGAAAGTAGTGGTATCCGCCAATGCTGAATAGTGTTCTGAAGCAGCCTGGCCAGCCGCTGCATTCATATGCTAATTAGGGCCATTAGCGCTCGGCCGGCCGCAGTGTTTTGCTGCATTCATATGCAAAGTAGGGACATTAGCATGGTACGGATGCGGCAGTTTGGAGGACAGGGCACCCTAACTACGCGTTTTGAAAACTGCTTTTAGGGTGACGAAAATCTAACTTTTCATGCAGTGCCTTATACTGTAGTCGCTCATACAGACTCCAAACTTTCCAGTCTTGGACGTAACAATATTTAGAAGGTTTTTTCAGAGGGATTTTTTAATAGCCTAGCCTGATTTATTCAGCTTTGAACCCAAAAAAACAGGCGGAATTGTTCGTATGATTGAGGCTGGTTCGATCTACTGGACGTTTGGGTAAGGCAAGCGCACAAGTTAAAGCTGCGTAGGAACTGAACTGTATTGAACTAGATTGACCAGGGCTCAGTTTATCTTGAAGCACCAGTGAAGCACCCGGTCAAAATGCATGTTTGCTGCTGGCTATCCCATACTGTAGAAGAAGTCAGAAAGGAACTTTTGAGAAGAAGTGTTTTTATAAAAAAATAAGAAGTAAAAATAATAATAAAGTAAAATACAATTGTATTGTTACAGTGCTTACAATACAGTGCAGTAAGTTAGTACAGTGTTTTACAGAGTCAATCCTTTGACTTTAAACCGCGTTTTGATTGGCCCGAAGTGAGCAACAAACCTCACCGCACGTCACTGGGTGGGGGTGGGGGATGGGGGTTGTGGCACAGTCTTGTTTGTCAAACGGTCGCTATTGTAAAACACACAACTCACATCACTTAAGTCCAAACTTTAGCAGGACTTCTCTTGTACTGCTTTTGTAATGAGCTTGATAAAAATGTAAAACTTTAAATACAATTGGAATTCAACTCCACAATCAGCACCAACCAAACTGCAGGAATAAAAATGCCAATTTTACAACATGACATTTCCTTTTGACAAGGAAAGAAGATAACAAGCTGATAATGTTACGTAATTGCACACAAGCAACCAAAACTGCCTCAGACAAGAATCGAACCCGGATTCCCCGGGTCCTAATCTGCAACGCTAACCATTCGGCCAACATAGTATAATTAGGCAAGATAAGTTTGCACGCAGCTTTAATACCTGAGCGTTTAAGTCGCTGGCAGAGCTAAAGCGGACTTAACCTGCCACCTTGTGGCAATAAGATGTAATATGTTTCACGCAGCTGCGTAATTCATGAAAAGCGTGAGTGAAGACGACAAAACGAAATGGGACCTACTGTATATGAAAATAGGTTCAATTGAATTGAATAATTGTAAGAAAGCGCCCACTATAGTATTTGATGAGGATGGTCCTTTTTTTTTTTGACAGAGGCCAAATAATCCACACATGTGAAAAGTGTTGATTGAACCAAACTTTTTTGAGGACTTATTTCAAAGTTAAAATTGATTGTTGTTTAAGTTTTATGCAGAAAATAGCAGGTAAGGATTAGAGAAGTTTGCATCTTTTGGCAACTTAATTTTCAGTCCACAAAACAAAAAAAATCTTGTGTATAGTCCCCTAAATGTTATAAATACCCACCCACAAACACAAGCACACACCTGCTCTGCACAAAACTCGACGCATAATGTCTCCCACACACCTGATGCAACTGTAAATGACAAATGACAAGCAGAGACGCGGGCACTAAACCTGCTTTCGAAACCTATGCAACCAGCAGCTCAGGTTAGATGTAGAAATTATCCTTCTACTCTCCTA